ACACAGAAACAAATACAGTATACAGCAAACATCCAGCCGCAGATCAATTCTGACACCAGTGATCCTGAGAATTAGAGTTCCCATTTTTCATACATTTTTCAACCCATTTGTGGCAAGCACAGAGCTGAAGGAATTTCAATATTATCACAGTATATTTAGTCTTTGGGGACATGAGATTACAGTTTTTCCCCCCTAAAATGGTAGAAAATGCCCTGAATAGGCGGATTTGTCCTGACTTAGTTGTGTGCAACTTTTATTTAAATGGAATAAACAGATCACAGATTAGTCACATGTGTGTACTAAAAATAATACAAATCTCTCCATTTTTACTGCTTATTCAGGGCATTTTCTACAAGTTAGGGGGAATAAACAGTATGTCCCCAAAGACTACATATTGTGTGATAATAAATTGACTGTCTTAGAAACTACAAGGAGCACAAACAAGTATCTGATATCTATGAACTCATGACAAGTTAAATGTCAGAGCTATACAGGAGTGATAAAACAATATTTCATATGGAAAACATTTATTAAAACAGATGGGTTTTTTTTCATTTGTAAAAAATCCTAAAAAAAACTTTGATTCTTCATGTAAAAGTCTTAAAGCTGTTGTCTTCTATAAAGTATGTCAGGACCAAAGTTCAGGACTTCAAGCTAACATATTTCATTATCATACTAAATATATTGTTTGGGTGCAAATGGGTTAAAGCGTCATGGCTGCCAGCCTTTTCCCAGCATGCAATACATGGAGGACAGAAGTGGGAGAGACATCTTTGACAGACAGTCAATCCATCACATAAAATAAAAAGCATAAATATTCTCAGAATAATCATAAAAATGACCAAGATTTAAGCACACTGGTTCAAATCAACCTTCAAAGTGAACCAGGATTTAGAAAATTGATGTTTCAATCAACACTAAAAGTCCTGTAAGGATTTACAGGTTCTCCTTAAAGCATGGAGGCAGGGGTGCTGCTGGGACCCAGATTTACTGGTATTTATGTCACGAAAGAGGTTTTACCTTGTTTTATATCAGTCTTACCTGCTAAAAAGTTATAAAATATGTGTGTAAAATGTTGTTAACAACTATTAAATAGGCTATAAATGATCCTGGCCGTTCAAATTAAAGCAAAAATCATGAATGTCGTGCATTTAGTATGACGTCATTATACAGGCAGACTTTCTCTCAGCTCCCTGAACTGACTTCTCTGACTTTAAGGGTCCTTGAAGCTTTAAAGTAAATATCCTAACATCATCTGAGTGGTCTGTCTGTGTGGATATAAACTCTGATTTACTGACACCACATTTACACCTGCACAGCAAAAACAGCCCTTCTAGAAACATGTCAATATTCTTGAATATAGTACATTTTTCTTTTATTGAGCCAAAAGAAATTTGGTAAAACTAAAACTAGCATAAACATCTAACCACTCAAAGACTGTAATGGAGATAAAAAGTAGAAGAAAAGCTGAAATGATGCAAGTTGTTCTTATTACAAGCTTAAAATAAGTATTTTGGTCACTTTATTGAGCTTAATTCAAGAATTTGTACCAGAAGCTTCTTATTTTTATCCTTTTTTATTAAAGCAATGAAAAACTAAACAGCTGCTTCATTACCAACAACTGGGACTAGACGACTTTTTATTAAATTGAGAAGTTGCGTGAGTGGTCTTAGTCTTAAAATAAGGACAATAATCTTGTTCCTCTGCTGGGATATTATACATACCATTGTTGTTTCTGGTTAAATTGAGCTCAATATTAGCTGTAATATCGTATTAAGACAAAGTTTGATGTATTTTCTTAAAATCAGATTACTTTTCTAATGCAAAACATGCTCGACAAGATTACTTTTCTTTTTAGACCAAAAAAATAAGACAAATTTCCCAGAAACAAGACGTTTTTACTTTCTTGAGATTTAGTTTTTGCAGCGTGTGTTAACATGGGTCTGAATAAGGAACGTTAAATGCACACAGAAGTGTTTGAAACACGTCTGGATGAGGCTCACACTGAGACTGGATCTCTGCAGAGGAAAAAATAAGTACAGCCCATGCCGCGGCATCACTTCCTGAGACTCTCGAGGGACGACGTGGAAGAAGAGGGTCACATGACCAACACAGGTGGTCGAGCTTCGCAGTGCGCTACCAAGCTTCTCCACTGGCTTTGATTGACCTTCTTACAGTTAGTTACAGGGGAAGGAAACAAGATGACTGTCTCATTAACTACTTTCATCATCAGCTCCGGAAATGCAGACTGTTGTTTATTAACCCATTTGCACCCAAAGACTATGTTTAGTATGATGCCATACCGTTTTTTCTGGTTGGTCTAAAGTCTTGAAATTTGGTGCCGACATAGTTTCGGCGAGTATCTAACAGTACAACTTTGATATTTTTAGATAACATGAAAAATCTCACTTTTATCGATGGTCAAAAATGAGGAAAAATGCTGAAATGATTTTTCTTTCATATGAAATTTAAGTGTAACCCTCGTATGTGTGGATATATTTGTCATTTCACTTGCTGTGAGTTCATAGATACCAAATACTTGCTCCTTGTATTTTCTGAGATACAGTTAATTATCACACTATAATTAGTCTTTGGCAACATTTAACAACAGTTTGTTTACCTAAAATGGTAGAAAACGCCCTGAATAACCAGTAAAAAGTAGGGATTTTTAAGTAAATAATCTTGATGAAAAATCAAATAATGTATTATAACATTTTTCGGAGCTCATAATTGAAGTGGATAATGAGTGAGCCACCATGTTTACTTCTCATCTCCTGTTGAGAGTTGCACATTGGATCAGGGAGGAGGTACATAGAGAGTACTGACACCAACATTAGCTTAGTTAGCAAGGCTGCCCAAAAGTAGCCCATCAGCTGTTTTCCATCTGTCACATGACCCTCGACCTGCACATCCTGTTGGGACCCCTCGAGATTATCCAGCATTACTTGCCTCGACCTAAGATAAGTCAGCCGGCTCTCCCCAACGAATTTGCATTTGAAGATCAGTTCACGAGCAGAACTGAGATAACGAGAACACCTTTTAAATACCAGGTGTAAATTCAAACACCTGTGATCCAGATGTCATGATACAGATAACGTATACCGGGAGGAAATGGGGTCAAAAACAAACCGGTTCCTTGGAGCCACGAGAGTCTTGTTTTTGGCAAACCAGATGGCATTTATGAAACTTCAAAGTCTCTGGTTCCCTACAGTGTGTACCGTTGTACTGAATCTCATTTTGTGTTGCAGAAGGGAAAAGTCATAGCTTGAATAAGTGGGATTTAGTTAAGAGCAAGATTTTTATCCTCTTTTTAATTAGCGGCGATGATAAGATTTCAAATTTTTAAACGTGTAAAGGGCATTCCTACTGATCGGTGGCCAAGATAATAAAAACGTTCACACCGTTTTTTATCAGGAAATCAACACCTCCTGTGAGCATTTGGTAGCAAGTGTGAGTCAATGGGACATGAAACCATCACTACTGTTGTGCAAAAACATGTGAGGGGAGTAAAATATTCTGAAGTTTACCTTTTAGAGAGGTCAGCCATAAAAAGAACACTGGCATTTTGCTTTAAGTGACATTTATATGGTCTCATCCCAAGAAATACAGCCTTAAGTTAGATTTTCAAATGTGAAACAAACTCCTTCCAACCTAAAACACTGCTGACATTTGCACAACCATGAACAGCGTATCAAGATCTTAGTATATGCACGAGGCTGTAATCTAAAAAAAAGAGAGAGAAAAAAGCAACCAAGGGCAAAGTCTTATCTCTGATGCCAAACTGATTCTTGACAGTGGAGCTGCTCTTGCGTGAAAAACTGAATGAAAGATCTGTGTTGATCCAGAAGAAATATTTGGTGAATAATATATCCCTTTTTCTGCTCGCATTAATATGAAACAAAGGTGATTTACATGCTTAATCAGACATATCGTCACAAAGCCTGGCGGTGCTTTAAGAGCCACGGGGTTGCCATGCTGTAGGATTAACACTGAATTGTCAGCAGTATAGGATATTGGCAAAGTGATTTACCAGACCAATATCAGCTTTTATTACATCTCATAAATATCGTCCAGTCAGTTGAGTCCACCTCTAATATGACAGAGGTTCCTCTCTGACCACAGCTACTGAAAACAGTCTGTGAAAACCTGCTAAAGTTTTGGTAAAAGGTTTGTTCAAATAATGTTTACCTGACAAGATCCTTCCCAACTTCAACCCCCACAGTAAAATGTCTCAACAATTGGACGAATGGCCGTGACATTTAGTACAGATGTTGATGGTCCCCGAAGGATGAATTGTAGTAACTTTGGTGACCTGACTTTAGTTTATTTAGTGCCATCATCTGCTCAGAATCTGTTTGTCCAGTACTGTGTGACCAAACACCTGCTAAATTAATGATATCAGCCTCAGCTGTACAGTTTTAGCATGCTAAGATGCTAAAACTGCTTTAATTTCATTGTGAAACCTTGTGTTGTATAATAACACAATAATAAAGAACTACCTTGATCCTTACTATGTTAGACATGGTATACATTATGCTGTACCTTCTGAACATGTTAGGATTGTTAGTCTGAGCTCACTAAAAAGCTACTAAATCCATAGCTGGATGGCCACAAGGCAAACCCCTAGCCGAGTTCTATACCAGAAAAGTGTTGGTTCTACACTGGTTTGAGATTAGGCACCGGCTCCAAACAGGCCTTCAAACTGCCTTGGTGGAAAAGGGGTAAATCTGATCAAAATAAGTGTGTGTTTTTTTAGTTTTTTGACACAGAGAAGAAAAATCATGTTTCATAAAATCTCATTTGTATTCTAACTAGTGGAAATCAGCAGATAACAGTGAGATTGTTTCTGTAGTGTTCTGCCTTCCCCTTGACTTGTTTCATGTCTCCCTGCTCGTCAACAATAATTGAACTACTGTTTAGTTTGATTGTAAATTCTTCCCTGGTGCTATTTTTTTTCCACATGCTCCTCATCAGACCTGTGTTTCTCCCCCTCTGTTCAGGCGGTCTGTTCATCAGAAACACTGATCAGGAGTACACTGCCTTTCGTTTGGCAATCTTCCTGCACAACACCAGCCCGAACGCCTCGGAAGCCCCGTTCAACCTGGTGCCTCATGTGGACAACATCGAGACGGCCAACAGCTTCGCCGTCACCAACGCCTGTAAGTCACATGGCTTTATGTTGTGGATGTACACTTTGGGGTTTATTATCACTGTACAACGGGCAATGGTGCCCTGTGTGAGGTAACCAGACCAGGGTCCTAACAGGATATATGACAAACACATATAACTCTTTATTAAAGGATAATTAAGATTTATAAGAACTGGGGTCTTATTTTCACATTAATGCTGATAGATAAGAATAACATACTCACCAAGTGAAAGGAACCCTTATTCTTTAGTAAGTAGCGGGAGATAGGACGTGGTTACATCATGTAACTTTATGCACGGATGACACAAAGAACAGACAACATGTTAATCAGTTTTAGGTGTATTTTTTAACTTTTGAACAGAACTAGGCTAGTTTAGTAGTTGTTTCCCCTTTGTGCTATGCTAGTCTAAGTCAGACTTCAGCTTAATGCACAAAGAAATTAAAAGACCTTTTTTATTTTAAAATGTTGAAATGTTTTGTTAATTGCTGCAATCTGTTTTCCTATGAACATCCAGGTTAGTCCAACTTATTTAGAAGAAAAAACAGACTTCCTGGTTCAGCATTTATTTAACATATTTACCAGAGTTGTGTGCACATATTTCTTTGTGTAATGAAGGGACTACTTTTCCAACTAGCTAAATGTTTGGCTTATTTACCACCTGTCTGATACTCAAACTGCTTGTGTTTGTTGCCTTGTTGGACCTATTTTTAGCGACTTTTTCCTTATTCCTAGATCTCAGCAATTGCTTTGGTGAGTAGCAGTATGACATCATAATGGATAAAAATGATATGTAAAACTATTAAAATAAGACCCCCCAAAAAAAGTGTTTTAAAATAAACTGGAATTATCCTTTAAAAGTTGGACACGCTTTTGCTCTATTTATGATGAATAGAGCAATTTGTCGTAATTATTAGGCAGAACTTAGAACCCAGTGTTAGTGAGGCAATGTAGAAGTAATGATAGAATAAGTTAAAAAAAAAAAGGGTTGGAAAATGTTGTAAATTGTGTTTCCATCCTGCTGCTAAAAAAAACAGCTGAGTGTGTTTGTGTTGAACGTAGCATGTAGTAGTATGTGAGTGTGTGATGATTGGCGTAGCAGTTGTGTCTGAATGGTTCACATCTGATCTGAGGCAAAGCCGCTACGCTGAAGGGACAGGGCAGCTGTAAACACAGCAAACAACAATCACAGCACTCGCCACGGTTAAGATCTCTGAAAGCGTAGTAGGCATGATTTTTAAACTGATTGATCCCCGAGGGAAAGCTCCCCTCTTTCCTTAGCTGGCTTTCTCTTGTGTGTGTGTGTGTGTGTGTGTTGTGTGTGTGTGTGTGTGCGTGCAGGAGGTGGGTTCCACAAAGACCAATGAAACGCAGCCTGATGGTCTTCTACTATCTATGGTGTGAATCTTAGTGTTAGAAAAATCAATGGCTAAATTAAAGCAGAGAATG